AATATATTTGGACAAACGCCTCTGTACAAGTTCCAAAATTTCGGAAAATTTGTACTTTGGAACAAAAATTTGGAATGTATAAAACGGCCCTTAGGCAAATCTTGGGTCAAAATCTACTCTACAGGGCAACCTGGACCCCTGTCTAATCTTTGCATTGCGACCATAAAACGTGAAAGATGTGGTGGTGATATCCAGGGTCGTACGATATTCATAGTGGTATACAATCTATGCAATCTCCGCAAATAACGGACGCCGACACCCAGTGTCTTGTACTGCTGGTGTTCGCCGCTACACTGCGGTTTACAGCGTTAGCTGATGCCACTAGCTACAACCTCCGTTGGTTTATGGTCCGTGGCGGTGAGCACGTCTGTGACAAATGTTGGATTCTGCTTGGTGTCGGCGCAGATGTCGGAGGCTGCTGCGACCTTCGATGTTTCAGCTCCAGTAACAAACCTGAACGGGCCAGGACGCACGACGCTTCTTTATGGTTCCCTCTACAGATGACAGTCGACGAAGCCCGCAGAAAATACGGCGCGAAGGTTGTCTTCTTTCTTTGTCCTCTGTTAAGTATCAAAATGAAGCCGGCGATAAATACCGTGATCTCACCTCTTGCGCATGAACCGCAAGGTATTCGCAGACAGCGTTGAAATCGTTGAGGTGATCGCAGTCCACCAGCGTCATCAGCGCTGCAGATGGGCTGTTCAGAAGCTCACCCATGTCAGAGTGTGCTCTCTCCCTCTTCTCGCCGTCGACGATATCCGCAACGGGTTCAGCTGCGACCGCCGTGTCTCCCATGCTCCCCTCGGGCGAGAAAAAGAGCTGGAACAGTAGATGTCTAGGGTCAGCACAATTCGAGGCTCTAGGGGAGTTCAATCCGGAACAAGAAAAGGCGCGAAAGAGGGCTGGAGTGGATGGAACATTGTTGGAGATGGTGATATGTTGAATGCCAAAGAAACGAGAGTGAGAGCCGCTCACGCGCGCGCTGACTGAACTGCAAGTTGGGGTTTGGAAACAGCACGTAAGAGCGGTCGGAGACGCCTATTTTTCCTCTTGTTGCCCTTTCCTGGACAGCGGGCTCATTCTACAGTACAGTACATAGACGCCAGCGTGATGGTGCCGCGCCTGGTGTACGATGTTGGGCTCAAGCCATCTGTGGGTGGTCCTTAGCAGCGTAGATTCAGCACCCCACATCATCTGGCATATGCAAAGCGCGAAAAACCATGCAGGATAACATCCAAGGGCACCGACTCCAAGCATGCCGTGGCACTGCTGTAGCTCTGCTGTAGTTCAAAACTCCTATCTATACCCTAACCGTCACCTACACGGTTGGACGGGCCTTACCTTGGTGTGCAGCTCGTGGGTTGGGGTTGAGGATGTAAAGCCTATTGGGGAGCGCGTGTGAAGTGGCAAAATGTGCGTCGGAAGGGCAACTCCAAAAAACGGAGCGGGCAATTAAAAAGCTGGGCCGAACTTTTTTTTTTCGATCGATTTCATCGCGTCACATGCGGTCAGGTAGAAGAAGGGCGCAAACTGCAAACGAGCAAACAAGCGGCACATTGCCCTGTGGAGAGACAGAACTCCAACATCCGCAAGACATCATCAGCAAAGGAGTAGCATTCATGCAAGCCATGAGGAAGGGAGAAGACTAAGCTGACAGATGGTCAGAATGCCTTGGTGCGTGTTCCAGACTGCTACTCGTCCTACAGATACCCAGACTATATTTGTAAGTCGCCAACGGCTCCTATATTCAGCTGTTCGCAGTTTGTCTGCTACTTTCGTGCGCCCCGTCACACCGTAGTCTACACTCATTTCACATCACACGTGGAGGTGCGTTTGGAACGATCCTGCACGTGTATCACAACCAGCTAGGCCCCATGATGCCTGGGAGAGCACAAGAACCTATTTTTCGGTGCCAATGAACAGCAGTGGCACCAACGTTCCACCCTCTCGTGCGTGACACAGGATATCTCACCCCCCTTGACTACCTTTCCAAGCCCAATTATTCCACGGCAGAAAGAGTGCCGGCGCCGAAGGCGTTACCGAAAAGGGTAGCGTTGGAACCTTCTCGTCTGTTGAAATACGGTTGTGTAGCACCCGCACTTCAGAAGTTGGCCTAAAGACGAAAGGGGCTCTTTTCCTGAACTTTAATCCTACACAAAAGAAGAAAACAACCTTCCCGCCAGGGTAGGTGGTGCATTCTACTGCTGTCATGATCAGTACAGCAGTAGAAGAAACCATGAAGAGGCGTCGTGCGTGCTGGCACTTTCAGGTTGCAACTGGAGCTGAAACATCGAAGGCCGCATCAGCCTCTGAAAACAGTCCGAAATCTGCTTCAGGACCTACCGGCATCCAACACTTGTCACAGCCGGGCTCACCGCCACGGACCAGAAACCCCTGAACGGAGGGTTGTTAGCAGTAGCTTGTGGCATCAACTACCGCTGTAAACCGGCGGTGTAGGAGATTGGGATCAGTGGCGGCGAGCACGGCTGTGACAAATGTCGGACGACGCTTGGTTCCGGCGCTTGGTTCCGGCGCGGAGGTGGAATCGTGAATTCTATGTTGTGAGCAGTCTCTACTGCCGCCCTGTGCGAGAATCAACGATTTCTACTTTCCGCGATCCCTGCCGACTGGTCTTGTATGTCTCTTGTGCATTTGATAAGCTCGGCCAACTGTCAAGGTCGCAAGGGAGAGGTGTACGTTGTTTTCGACATTTCGAGGCCATGGAAGAACTTGTCATTGCTGAATGTAACCAGAGGCAGACTTCGAGCCCCGACCTAGGGGCTGCAAAACAAGCTTGCGTCTCCTCGCCAGAATAGTGGACCAGATTGATATCATCACCACCAGCGCTCGCCCTTCGTTGTGGTCGTAGCGAGGTGCTGGCACACTTGGCACACCGTGTAGGGTCGTGGGCTTGTTTGGGGGAGTGCATTATAAAATTCCCCTTCTTCCCGTCGCTGCCTCGGGAAGGTTTTGCGTAGGCATGACCCATAACGAGGGCGGGGGTCGTTCTAGCGAGCAGGGCTAAACTCACCCTCAAGGGACCGATACCTTCGTGCTGCGGCGCACCCGCCGCGAAGCGTGCGTCGTGGTGCAGTTGGGTCGGCACTGGTGCGTCAGGTACAACGGTGCAGATGCGCGGGCCTCCAGGCCGTCGGTTTAGGCAGCAATGCCCATCTCATCTTTGTGCGCGGAGGCAGACGTCATCAGCAAGGTGGACGGGCACTATGTACACCGCCCTAGGTTTGCTAGAGGGAGCTGTACTGTCTCAGTAACCTGGTTTTGCCATCAAAGGAGGAGGGGACAAGTGGTGACGAGCTGACTGGGCTGGTTGATCCTTCGGCGCGAGAATTTTCAGACCAAGAACGCTAAGTGCCACGAGGGAGAAAGCGAGGAACCGACTGGGAAGGACAACAACGAGAGCGTGNCGTGGTGCAGTTGGGTCGGCACTGGTGCGTCAGGTACAACGGTGCAGATGCGCGGGCCTCCAGGCCGTCGGTTTAGGCAGCAATGCCCATCTCATCTTTGTGCGCGGAGGCAGACGTCATCAGCAAGGTGGACGGGCACTATGTACACCGCCCTAGGTTTGCTAGAGGGAGCTGTACTGTCTCAGTAACCTGGTTTTGCCATCAAAGGAGGAGGGGACAAGTGGTGACGAGCTGACTGGGCTGGTTGATCCTTCGGCGCGAGAATTTTCAGACCAAGAACGCTAAGTGCGACGAGGGAGAAAGCGAGGAACCGACTGGGAAGGACAACAACGAGAGCGTGTACGAAGCGGAGCGGGTCGAATTTGGTCGTGCTAGGACTGGCCACAGCGGTACCGGAGCAGCGGCACCGGAGCTGCGGCACCGGAGCAGTGGAACCGGAGCATGCGGATGGCATCGAACCGTGGCGCACGGACAAGCATCACTTGTGTTGTCAATTATTTTCCGTATTTTTTCCTGAATATATGTGTTGGGTGTGTGTGATGACGTCACTGGTTTTGTAGAGAGACGCGGCAGAGATGGCGCGGATAACCCGGGTGCCTTAATTGTGTACCTGCATCGTGGAAGACCCCTTCGATGTGGAACGATTCCTAGTCAGTGTCGATGTTTACACTGCTGTGCCTAACACAGATGATCTGG